TTTTTCCCCCCCCCGGTCGTTATTCGCCCCCCTCAAATCTGTGCCGCATCACCAGCCCTCATTATGCTGTGCTCAGTAGCCCGGTGCGTTCTCCGCCTCTGCTAGGCAGTGGCAGCATGGATGGTGCTCTTGTGACGACCTCTGCTGATGCTATCAGTCCACTGCGGATAGGCATGCTGAGTAATCCTGCTGTAAATGGGCGAGGACACGGACACACGAAAAATTAACCACAGCTTTCTTCGAGACCACAACTATGTGACTGAAGGTAACACAAATACTGTCGTTATTCTCTTCTTGCATTGCATAATCTGTGCCAGGAATGCACTGTCACGTTTGGAGATGTAGGCTGTTCTTTTTTTTTTTTTCTTTTTTTTCAAACAGGGAGACTTTCAAGGCGTTTTTCTGTGTGATGTAGCAACAGAATCTGTTTGAATTTGCTAAATCCCAAAGGCATTCTGTCATGCTACGGCAGCATGTGAAACTATATGGGCTGAAGAAGGTCTTGCATTGTGCTGAGTTTCTGCTAGTGAGGTGTGCAGCACCTGGCATTGAATGCACAGGAGCTGCAATGTGGAGGATCAGAAGCAGTTGGTTACTTAAAAAAAGATGAAAGATTTGACAGCACTAAAGCAAGAGAAATAATCCGTAAAGTTAACTGTTTGCTGGTGTAATAAAGGTTATGCATCTCATTTTGGTAATTATAGCCTGAGCATCACAGACATTGCTGAGTTGATTGTTCCCTAGAGAACCGTATATATTTAGAAGGGATATGTAAGCATAATCTTATGAAATACTGCTGCTTTCTTTCCATCCTCTGTGTATGTGCAAGATACGTGAGAAAATAAAAGGTATCTTCATTTTAAATCATTCAATGGTTGGTAGCTTATTACATAAAAACGAATTTTGCTGCAGGTGACACATGTTAAATGCTGAGAGAATTTGCCTTGAGACCAGTGAAATGGTCGAGTCAGGTGCTGATCCATATTTCCTTGCCAGAAAGTTGGTTTAAGAGCAGGCCATTTTAAGATTGATTGATTGAAAAGGAGAAATGTATTTGTAGGTGCTTGACTTTGCAAATATGTTTGTGTGGGCAGAGTTTTAATGGCACTTTCCAGCAGCAGAAACAGTACTTCAGTGCAGGATGGTATAATATGAACATACTTAACATCAGGGTGAACCAATACTACGTGAGACTCAGTCTCCAGATTCTGTCGTCATTTGATCAATGCATGGTCACTTAATACTCCCATGCTGCATCCTGAAGTGTGATCAGCTGATGCTCTCTAGGTTATTGATGATTTGCGTTTTTTTTAGAATGTAGAAAACAGCAGGGTGATTTTGCCGAACTGGGAACACAAAGCAGATTTTTCAGAAGAAAAACTAAAAATGCTGTGTACTGTAACTGTTACCACTGGCTGGTGTAATTGTTTGCTAATCTTGCCTCTAGGACATTCTCTGCATTCTGGTTCATGTTTTGGTGCATTTTTAAAATTGTTTTGCATTTTCGATTAATTCTTTTTGTCTGAATGATGGTTTATGTTTATGTTTTGAGATGTCATCTGTAATAACATTTGAAGAAACTTTGTCTTAAATTTATAAATTTATGCCTCAGAATCTGCAAAATGCACAGTATAATTACTGCGGTGTGCTTGCTACATGTTGAGATTCAGATGTATATTTAATGGGCATGTACAGATGTGTTAAAATTTGGACTTTCAAGTCCGTTAGTTTTGTAATCTGAGGAAAATAATCCCTTGTGGATTTCACAAGTCAATATTCTCCTCTTGTATGTTATGGGTGTTTTAAAAATTAGATGGAGATTTTTAGTATTTCTGCAGACACTGCTGACAGGAGTTTTAGATTTTTTTCACGTTTTATCTTCACTTGATATTTGGATCAGAAGGACTGGATGTCCTCCCATGATTGCACATGGAGTGGCTTGTCTGAAATGTGTCAAAATGCACCTTGAACATTAATGTCAGCCTGTATTATATTTTACCTGGGATTAGAAGTCATTATGAAATCTATTGGCATCTGATTTTGAGGTAGATGAAGTATGGGAAACCTTCAGTAGCAAAGTGTTAGTTCTTCAGCTCGGACTGTGTAATGTTTCTTGGGAATGCTCAGTTGGTCAGCTGTAGTAAAATTATTCACATCTGTTATATCTGATGTTGCCACACCTTTTAAAAGATCATGAACATGATGAGGGAATGGATTTATCTGTGAAAATTTTCCAGGGACACCTTCAGCTCAAAGACGACCACCACAAATTTTAATTTCTCATTGATATACTTTGTTTAAAATGCATAATGAATATGTAAGTTAAACTGGTACTTAAAATGTACTCTCGTCTGTTTTTTTTTTTTTAATTTTGTTTAAAGATTTGGCTCCATGAGACAACCTTTAACACTTTTCACGTGTAAGGCCTGAAGTCCTTTCACAGTCCTTGCATTTGGTCCTAAGATATATTAGTGATGCATGCATGAGAGTAATATACGTATAGAAATGCAGTTGCAGGCAATAACGTGTTGCTTTGTTAGACTGGAACATAATTTCATTGGGGCCAAACCCAGTTCTTTCTTTTGGGGTCTTTGACTTTTGTAACCCACTATTTAAAACAAAGAAATTCTTTATATTGTATCTAGTCTATTAGAGACGTTACCGATTCATTGTTGTCTGTGAATGACTACAATTTTCTCCTCTGTTTTCAGAGTTTTAAAATCTCAGTAAGGATTGTCCTATGTCCTTGCTGCACCATGTGGCAGACTAAATTCATTTACAAAAGGAAGTATTTCTGGCCTTTATATGCACTTTCTTCCTCTCTATTCCCTGAGGAAAGTAAAGCCAACAATAATCAAAATGATGTGGGTTAACTATAGTATTGCTTTAGTTCTCTTCCTCTTTTACTTCTTCAGTGACTTAAAAAAAAAAAATCAGGTGTTATATGAAATCATAGGGTATAGGAAAACTGTGAGCCAAACCTGATTTGTTCTGCTCTTGCTAGTGGACCGAGCGTGTTCCTAACGAAACTGCTTGCTTAAGCAAAGTCAAATTTAATCTCTTTGATAGGTCATTATTTTGTAATATTGGAGTTATCTGTATCAAATATGACTTCACCTTGACTATGGAAACTTGAATTGATTTTTAAATCTCAAAAGTTCCTTGATTTGATGGTTCATGTTTTACTGTTGATGTTATACTCTTTCTGGTAATAGGCATTGTAGACACGTATATGACAACAGTGACTATCTGGACTTATTTCTCCTCTAACATATGTATATCTGCAGTAAAACCAATCATAGAATCATAGAATGGTTAGGGTTGGAAGGGACCTCAAAGATCATCTAGTTCCAACCCCCCTGCCATGGTAGTGGAGTTGAAATGGAGTTCAATGTAGTTGAAGCAAGCAGGACTTGAATAATTTTGTCCTTGTAAGTCTTAAAAGTATGTTAGAGTTGCACAATGGAAAGAGGCAATTTCATTCCAGCAGCAATATACAGTAAGTTCTTCAATGATCACTTTCAAAAATGATTTTGAAGGACACTCCTTTAATTGGAGTTATCTGTGTGGGGAAAACAGGGAAGACCTGATGGGACTTGTAAAGAAAGAGAGGAGAAAGACCTGAGGCCTAGAAAGTGTGACCTGTGAGGAAAGATTGAACCTTTTTTATGTGAAGGTGGTGAAAGACTGAGATATGTTGCCTAGGGAGCTTGTGTAGTTTATATCAGTGAAGTCTTTAAAAGCAGGTGACAGATCTGTAAGAAATGACATGGGGATAACTCGGCCTCCCTTGGGGCAGGGGATGGACTAGGTGACCTCTGAGATCTGTTCAGGCTTGTGATTCATTGCCGAGCTGTGTTTTATCTTTATTGCCTTTTGCTCCCCAGCTGCGGGAGCCAGCTGCCCAGGAGGTGTTGTGTCGGTAAAATGTATTATTTCCACAACACCTTTAGAAGAACAGAGAAGAGAGGAGAGGCACGGTGTAACATGGGAAAGAAGATGGGCTGGATGGGAGAGACATGAGCCTTCAAGTCTGTTAGGGGAGATGGCAAGAAAATCACGGACAGAGAGTTGGGGGAAGGGATAAAGGAGGAAAGAGGCTTGTGTGCTTTTGGGGGCAGAGAATGTCCTTCAGTCCGAGAGTTCCCTTGACATTACATGTGCTTAGAGAATGGTAAAACTGACAGGACTGCTGATGTGCTTTGCTGTCTCAGGACCTTGGGATCAGCCACAAAGGATCTGATTCAGAAGAGTGAATTGTGTAGTACGGTCACTGTGTTCCTTGGCAAGGGCAAAAAGTTGTGGGAAACGACAGCGCTGCTACTTTGAGCAACTGCACTGTTAATTCAGCTACTCTGTATTTTACAGATTTAACGATTGACGAAGAAATAATGAACAAAATTCACTGTCCTTACCAAACTCTGTTAAAGGATGTGATTCATATCCATGAACCCAAATTTATCTGGAGAAACGCTCTTGTGGCAAAGGCTTTCTGCAGGTTGTATGCAGACATCTATAGCGTATCAATTCATCCTTGCCTTTTTATGGATTATCCCTGTTTTGGGAAGAAATAAAAAAATGCTTACACTCTCAGTTTCTAGAGACAGATTCCTCCCTTGGTCTAGGCCTGCAAATTCAGGTGAAACCAGTGAAGTTCACAGGTGCAGTGGGGCAGAAGCTGACCTTCACTATCGAGTCATTTATATGGCCAAATGGTGCAGATTGGTTCCATATGGCTTAACTTCTATTAAAAAGTTAATCATGTTAATGGTGTATTAACCTCCTCAAATGTGGTATTTGAAGAATAATGAGAGTTACCAGTGTAGTGTAAAACATATTGAATCATAACCATGTGAAATATTTATTATAGAGGATGAAAAAAGACTTTTTTTTCCTCATGATTTTAAAGGAAAATCCTCAGCAGATAATGAAAACAGATTTTGGGGCTTTTTACCCCTTAACTAAAGAAATTAGTATCTCTGTTCTTCATTAATCAAAGTTAAGGGGAATAATCCATTTTCATCTGCCAAGAAGAAATTAATTTATAAATTTGTCTTTCATAAACATCTCAAATATAATTTGAATAAGAGCTGAATACCTGAGAGTATTGGATGAATATAGCGAACAGATACTGCTCTACTGGCTCAGTCTCACCACCAGTCTAGTCTGTTCACTTATTTCTGAGAATAGCTGGTAACAAGCTCATTAAGAAAAGTGCAAGAGGTAATTCTTCCTCTCTTAACCTCCAGCAATTCAAGATTTATG